GGAATGAGTTTTAAATTGCAGCCACTAAATTCGTTCCATCTCTGTTTTTATGTCTGTCTGTCTGTCTGTCTGTCTATATCTATCTATCTATCTATCTATCTATCTATCTATCTATCTATCTATCTATCTATCTATCTTCTTTAGTAGGACTTTGCACACTTCAAAAGTGATCCTGAAGAATTACCCTAGATTTTGCAATTCATTAAAACAGCCTGATGAAAGAATGTGGCTGTGGGTGAACTGGATCATTAAAGCAACACATCTTTAATGTGCAGCCACATTTTTTTTCAGACTCACATAGATGCCTCAAGAAATTAATAGCACAGAAGGGCTGTAGTTGTATTTGTGCAAAGTCCAAATTTTCCCAAAGGCGCACAGCCAGACCAAGGCTTTAATTTCAGTTAGGAGCACCATGGATGGAGAAGATGATTTTTGGAAAGAAGCAGCTGGAGTGAAGCTTTAAATAAAATAAAAATATATATTTTTTTAAAAAACACCCAAATTAAAAAAAAAAAGCAGACCCAGTTATTTACTGAATGAAACATGTAATCTGATCATAAATCAATCTGCTATGAGTAAGAAATTCCTTATGTATTTCTATGTCTGCCAGATCACTGATATATCCTTAAGAAAATAATCTAATATATAAGATTTTCAGCCTGTGTTTTTATTCAGAAATGAGTATAATTTACTGTTACCTACACAGAAACACTTCTACATGATTGTATAACTAGTGACTTACACATGTTGGGCCCCTGTTGAGAAGTTGCAATCAGTGTTCAAACACTGAAGGAAGTTCTCTATCACTCACTCACATACACACACCCTCATACACCCCCCCCCCCTCATATATACACACATCATCCACAAAGCTATTTCTCCACATTCTGTGCCATCTGCCAAGGGCTAATGAGTTTCTGTATAATCATGGCCCTTTGCTATGTAGTTATCTTTGGAAACATCATAAAGAGACTTCTTTTTCAAAGTGACAAAAGGTTGGTTCCACAATCCTAAAATATCTGTAATAGAATATTAGTCTGCTATGCTGGAATAATGTTCCCAGAACTGCCATATAACAGCTTAGTTTGTGATATTAAATTCCATGCAACAGTTGGTGTGCACAGTAGTCTTAGTATTTAAATAGTGTTAAAGCCTGCTTCCAATGAACAACTTGTACCCATGTGAGCCAAATTGATGTTCCCAAGACCCAACTGAAAACTGGAAGATATGAGGATCTGCCTTGTGATTTCCCAAGACAATGTACAATGTGGAACTACAAGGCTGTACAACTCCCTGTATGCAGATAATATTAATTCTACCCAAGAAAAGAAAGAAAACTGACTATATCCGACATTGTTCTCTTTTAAGGCCACATAATTATCAATACAACTAGCAACAGATGTTATATTATAGTGCCATACTTCTCTGTGATCAGTTAGACAGAAACTTCAAATCTATGTTAATAAGATAGGCCAAAGGACAGTAATGCTAAGTTCAGGTGTGATGTTAAATTGGCTTAGCCCTTCACGCTAAACCATAAACCATGCTTTACAAGTTGCATTGGTTGGGTTCACACAACGTGATAAGCAAACACTGAACAAAGCACATATTAGCTCAATGAATGTCCAGAAACTTTCAAATGTTATTTAGTGGATGGGTGTAAACAGACTAGTTGGGAAAAGTATCATAAAAGAAAATATGCCTTATTGTACCCCAAAAAGCAAACTATGGGGGTGAAAACTTATGCCCACTAACGTAGAAACAATCTCCAGTTAACCTAAGTTCAACTTCAGAGGAAGCTTGCTTGGGATACTGCTGCTAAACTTGGTGTTTTTTTGGTTTTGTTTTACATTTCACAAAATTACCTGAGAATTTTGCTTGTGGCCTTTAATTTGTTTTGCAATGGCTACTATAGTGCTTCACAATTTTCATCCCTTCGGTTTATTACGAGTATTAAAAGTTTGCATTTTCTATTTGTCTGCATTACATTCTACTTCATTTTAGGGATAGAATATATAGGTATATTATAGCATATACAAGCCCTAATAGTAGGGCTTGACTATCATACGTCTGGATCAAATCTTCAGATTTATGCAGATATCCATAACTGACTGAGATTTTAAAACAGTAACAACAGCAGAAATGAAAGAGAAGGATTTCCATGAGAAAGGGGTCTACAACTTGTAAGGACAAAAGTATTATGAAGAAAAGCAGAAACTTGTCATGGAGGATCACCTGCCTTTCTAACTGATGTTTAAACTGCTTAAGGGGGAGTAAAAGCTACATTGCAAAGGGTGGAGTGTTACTGCAGACAGCCATTCCGGCATGCTTATGCCCAAATCTTTTTGTCTCTTCGAGCTGCTATTCTCAGTTCCCCCTACTCACTTGCCATTTAAAGCTGCCACCCCAACGGTGCTTCTGGCAATAGACATATTGGCCACAAAGGTCCACTGTTGACTTTGGGGGTCCCACCTCTCGACTGTATTCAAATAGCTCCAGCCATCATGACCTCCTACTGCATAAATGGGCCCTTCAAGAACAGTAACTCCTAAAAAGAAGAGGCAGAGAAAGAATGTAAGAACAGACCAGCAATGGAAGGAAAGGTTTCGAAAGGCTAATGAGAAGCTCAGAATATGCCACGTGGCAGCAAGGAATTCTGGGACAGTGGAGGGGGCCAGGTCACACTGGCACGGAGAGGGACAGCTAATCCCACAGACCGCTGTGAAGCTGTGAAGAACCCTATCTCTTCAGGCTAGGAGCAGGGGATCTTCCTCTTTGGAGGGTGTTTGTTTATGGATTTATTTAGTTGCCTTCTGGTTGCTCCAGGGGGCATGGCAGTGATGTAGTATGGCAGGGGACAGGTTAAATAGTTTGAACGGAGCCAGGATTAGTTTCATGTTTATTTACACTTTGTTGCTCCCACCCACCCACCCACCCACCCTTTTTTTTTTTATTGGTTGGTTTGCAGAGACTTAGTATGTTCAACATGTCCAATTTGCTTTTTTTTTTTTTTTT